AAAAAAGAAAAAATTTGCAGTAGTGATGGTCTTTCGGTTCTTCTACTCTTCAGCCTGGTTCGCCTTAGTCCTGCCAGACATCTAGGAGAGTGTTGAATTTCCCTGCGTTACACTGTTCCTCTGTGTTGTAAATCACAGTCCTGATTTTAAAGCAGGCCGTATTTGTGATCCAGTCTGCCTTAATTTGTATTCACCTAAGAGTCAGTTTGTGGCTCAGCCTCTGGGTGGCAGTGTTTTTGGGTTGGCCTCTGAGTCTATACAGCTTCTCTATCCTTTTTTAATTGTTACCCTGCTCTGTCCTCTCATCCATTCCTCGCCTTCTATGTAGGGTGATCCTATATCCCTGTTATCCAGGACAACCTAGATTTATGTCTGTTGCCCCACAAAAGTGTTCAGGATGGACAATAAGGAATATGGTCCATTCCCATCACCACAACTTCTCATTGATTCCCACTTGGATGGTAGCAGTAGTTGGCAATAATGGGTGGAAGTAGCTACCCAACCGATCTTCCCTTTCATCCATTTACTTTTTCAAAATTTTAATTGAGTGCTAATTCTGTACCAGACACAATGTTGGCACCAGGTAGGGCTTCCCTGTAAGACTGTGCAGTTTTCACATTGCATCAGGGCACCCAGCCCAGGTAGTGAGTGAGGCGGAACACCATCTGCTTGCTGAGCCTTGCACTCTCTGCTGCATCTGCCCAGTGGGGGGAGGGGGGGATCTTTTTTCTAACTCACATAAAGACATTGTGGAAATTACATTCCTTCGTCAAGTCTGTCCCTATTAGAATCCATTCCCCTCTTCTGTATTGACCTTCCTACATTGCAAGCCTGATCTTGCCTCTCTCCTGCATCCTGCTCACTGTCACCTATAAGCTCCAGTCCAAAGTCCTGGGCATGGTGTGCAAAGTCCTTGGTCATCTGGCATTTGCCTTCTCTCTAGACTCATTTCTCCCCATACACACCTTACCTTGCCTGTGCTGGACTTTTTCTGGTTGCTAGAATGTGCCAAAATGATTTCCACTGGCTTCATTCCTTTCCAACATGCTGTTTATCTGAGCTTGGGTGATCATCCACACAACACGCCACCATCTGACAATCTACTGACTGATGATGATAAAGGAGGAAGGAAAGGAGGAAAAATGAATTGATGATAACTAATGCTTGGCCGAGGGGATGGGGCCTAAGCCGGCAGGCGGACATCCCCCAAGGGGTCCCGGACTGCGAGAGGGCGCAGGCCGGGCTAAGAGACCCCCCACCTCCCAGTGCACATGCACTGGGCCTCTAGTCATACCTAATGGTGCAAGACTAAAAGCTTTCCCTCTATAATCAGGAAGAAAACAAGGATGCCCACTCTTGCCACTTCTATTCCACATTATACTGGAGGTTCTAACCTTTTTCTTGCAATTAGGCAAAAAAAGAAATAAAGGCCATCCAGATTAAACAGGAAGAAGTAAAATTATATTTACAGAGGGCATATCCTGTCTCCATAGCCAGGCTCTTCATCTCACTGAAGACGAACGGCTGACAATGTCTTCTTTCTTGGAAGGAAGGAGTTCTCTTCCTATTTTCAACTCTTCCAGCATCACTCAGCCCAGGCCCCTTCTCTACCCTCCCACCAACCTGGCACCCTGCAGCCTTTAAAAACACTGTGGGGAGCAGCTGTTAGTAGTGCTGTAGGTACCCCTGTGCGCGCGCTAGCGCGCACACACACACACACACACACACACACACAATTTGTAGAGCCTGAGGTCTTGTCTGGCAGCCCATTGATAAGCATCTTTATTGCTGTCTTCCCTTTCTGCTCACTCCCTACTTCTCAATGGTGTATCCTGACCCGGCCTCTCATGTAAGCTACTTGCACTGGGACCTTTGTCTAGCATTTGGCTTCTGGGGAACCTAAAACTATGACAGATAGTCATCGTAGGTCCTTCGTGGACTTTGACCAGCAAATTAATAAAATTGAAATAGAATAGAATAGGAAATACCAGAGTACACTCTGTATTTGTTTCAACTTGAGACTGTAAATTGTATCTCTTACTGTGGGACAAAGGCAAAAATACTTAGGAAAATTCTGCTGTAAAGACTTTTCATTGTTTTTTAAACAAATGTCATGTCAACATATGAACTTTTTTTTTAAGTACCACTTTTCTAAGAGCATGTTAAGGAGAGGCCAAAAAGCAGTACCAAGTTTTATGAATAGGAAGGTGCTTGGTTTTTATATTCCCTCAATCTTGTGATTACTTAATTTTCAAAAACATTTACAATACTAATCCTAGGAAGACTCTGGTGAGAGTGACATGTATGTATTGCCGATGTCATTGTAAACCACACACTTTGAGTTAGCTCAAAATCCTATAAATCCTTGTATTTTTGCTGAGAAAAAAATAACTAAAACTTGGCATACTGAATCATGTACACTGCAGTGTTTTCTGTTCAATAAAAAAATAGGAGCAACTTAAATGTCTGGATTTTGAAGGAGGAGTTTGAAGGACCAATATTCTCGGGAAGAGAGGCTTTGAAGTTGAGTTTTACAGAAAGATGAAGGAGGGATTGTCCACCGCTTACATAAGAAGTCTCACAGGATTGCTGATGAAAACTAGGTTCTCAGTGGCACCTCCGCTCACGTGGTCTCCGGAGAGTCTGATGGAGATCCAACACAGTTTTTAGTAGGAACTCAAAACAATGGCCCAGAGCTCTCATGGATGGAGTCCAGTACTCACACTTACAACTTGACTTGGCATAAGAAGGAGATCCAGAGACAAATGGTGGGCGGGCGGTTAGAGAGCAACCAAAGGACTTGTATGCATGCATATTAGCATAACCAATGGACAGACACTGGGGCGGTGGGGGCTTGCCCGGGTGGGAATGGCTGGGGGGAGGTGTCAATTGGGGGAAAAGGAGACATATGTAAAACTACAATTAAAAAAACTTAGTTAAATTTTTACTATAGAGAAATGTAGAATTGTACATTTAGAGACATTCAGAAAATCATTAAAATTATTTTCTTGATCCAAAAAAAGAAAAAAGCAGAGGTGGAGGAGGCAGTTACGAGGTTCCAAAAAGAGTAGTGGTTGGCAACGATCTGTCCCTTTCAGCCTGCAACCCAAAACCACATGGGGTCTGGGGCCCACGGGGACTCAAAATCCCGCTGTGGGGTTGTAAAACCAACTGTGCCTGGAAGAGCTTCCCCAACCGCGGGGTAATCAGCACTCAGGTCTCCAGGGCCCACTTAGAAGTTCATACATTAAACACTGGTTCCGTTCAAAGTCGCTGTTGTTAAGAAAGAAGTACAAATATCTGGATAGGAAAAACGAGGGTGCAGAGGGTGACTGTGAGAGACTGGGGCGCAGCCTGCGGGGCAAGGGACCAGGGGGTAAACGGGGGCCGGCGGGTACGCTCTG